AGTTCTGCTGTATTTGCTTTGACAAGTTTTGGCTCGTGGTCAAGATCAAGTCTGCAACAGAAGGAATTGGTATCGTAGCCAGTTACACCATATTGGGAAATCTTCAACATCAACGATTCATCGAATGGAAAATACCCTGAGCTTAACGTAAGGTTTTTTTTTCAAAAGCAACCTTCTAAAAAACTCAAGAATTTGTATACTCTGAATTGTAATAACTCTAATTGTCTTCTCTAACAGGTTAACTACGTTTAAACGTGGCGAGTCCTCTTGCGGATTTTGAATGCCTCCCGGTTCTTAAGATGGTACCGACTTTTAACAAGTTTACGTTTTAGCTTATCAATCCTCCTTGATACATGTGAGGGCTGACATGAACAAATTGTGAATTGCAGGAAATGCTCCCATGCCCGGTTGGAGCGGGCGATGGATTCCTTGAATTGGTAGCCATTGCGAGGCCAATAGCAAAGGTTTGAATCGCAAGTCCGGTTACTGGTACTATAATTGTGTGTGTCGCTGTTACACAACGATGCGAGAGAGGACAAAAGCGACTTGCCACAGCAGCTGTTCGGCTATTCCCATCTCAATTATTTCCTTAATTCTTCTAGCTTTTTCTTCATGTCTATTAATGGTACTTTGCTGGAGCTGACTTCAGAGGTGTGGAGGGTGTTCTTTAAGTGCCTGAAGATAGCATTAGTCCCCTTTTTAGAACCTTGAAAATGTACTTTTGACATTTTAAAGAGAAAATTGCTTTGAAATCTCAAAATGTAATGTCCTCGCTTATTTGAATAGCTTTAACTATGTTATACCTCTTCAAAAAAATAAGTTCAAAGTGTTTAAATTATTTCCTTATAGATGGACGATAACAGACTTCTTCCACTTCACAAATGATGGAATTAAATTGTAGCCTCGGGATAGAAACAGGTCCTCTCACATAAGCGTAGTGAAGACATAATCAATATTGGATCAAAGCTTCAATAATCAATAACTCTTCGGATTTCGTGATGGGCTTATGTCTTAAATATTATTCCAATTTCTTGAATTAAACCATGCTTGTAATAATTATGATGTAGCATACACAAAAGATTTTAGGATATTAGTGCTTCCTCAGATCTCTGTTGCAAATTGAACAACAATAATTGTATGGAGATCTCTGCTGGATCTTAAGAGTCTGAGCAACGCCTCTTTAAACTCTTGATGAAAATAAGGATGGGTCTTAAAATCAAACATTTGGAATATTCCTTTGAACACTAGAGAAAGCTTATCTCAATGAAACCCAAATGACTGTCCATAAAACGTATTGATGTATCAATCGAACAAAAGTTCACCATAAATCTGGTTCTTATGAGATTCCCATTTCCGTAGTATGCGAAAATTTAATGGTATGGATTTTATGATGAGCCTAAATATGACGAACTCCCTATGGTAGAATAAGACCCAACTCTTCACACATTGATTTAGGCTTCCTCTTGATCTTTAGAGTCATGTGCAACAATTTGAGTTCAAATCTGCTTGTGAATTTTTGTTGTGAACTTTGATAGAAGTTTGGCTCAATATCTGATGATCTATGCGAGGATCTCCTTGAGCCTGCCACCAACTACTTAAACAATGCAATCACCATAAGCATATCCTGGATAAGAACCGAACGGCCATGTCGGGAAGGATAGGATCGTGAGTGCCATCTCTATTTGAATTTAATGCACCTGCACACCCTGGTTAGTCATAATAAATATTAAATATTAAAAAAAAGTCAAATAACAACATGAGAGCGCAAAAAGATGTGGGATCTCATGGTCAAAAATTGGGGTGTAACACATGTCAGTATTATAGATTAGTTTTCTTTTATTTATAGCATAGCATGTCATTGCATCTAAGGGCAAAATTTTCGGTGTTCTGTATTTATATACCTTTCACCATGATTTCATGAGGATTGTCATCATTCATGTCATTTGGTGAAGATATTTAAATATGAGCAATTGTAATACCCAAAATTTTACCCCTTATATGTTATTAACATTTGCATGAGCATCATAGGTCAATCATCCTTGCATCACTAACCAATTTGTCAGCTTTGTTTTGTTTTGTTTCATCTGTGAAATCAAGATTTGCTTCAGGAGACTTCAAAGGTGGTTGGATTAGGGTCTTGGACAAGAATTGGTCTGATGAAGTGGATATCCTTTGGTCATAAATTATTTCTTTCAGTTATTATGCTCAAGTTTGAGGCGGAAGTGTTGAATTTTCATTTGATTAACGAGTGCCTACTAGAGGTTCATCAAGGCATGACTTCAATTCTCTGAATGACTACAAAGTTTAGTTTTCTTAAGGTTCATCAATGGTTTGACTGGAAAAGTCCTAAATCAAGATTATGGAGAATTAGGGTTTCTCACCCTTGGAGTTTATGATTAATAAGTATCGTTCAGTTGAGTTTCGTTTGAGGCTAGCAGGTTCAATGTGTGTGCAAGTACTGATTGGGTAGTTAAAGTTGTCGCTATTGGTATGAGGATTCATCAAGTTGTTGTCTAATCAAGACCATTTCAAGTTGGGTTTAAGTTTGTGTTGTTGTTCACAATTTGTGGTGGTCAAATGCATCTGTGGAGTCTTTAAGTGTTGTAGAGGTGTTACCATATCCATTCCCATAACCGTTTTTCGATTCATGTTTCTAAACCCAGTTTTCCAAAACTACTTTTCATTCCAAATCTTATCCGATTTTCTAATTATCCATTTTTCATATTCCATTTCTAAACCATTTTCATTTTCAATTATCCACATTTTATTTCAACTATCCATTTAAAATCTATTCAACTTCAAATTCACATTCCATAATTATCCAAACCTTTTCCATTTGTTGATTTCAATTTATAAAACCAATTCAACATCCGTTTTTCAAATTTGTCTTAAGTTTCAATTAGTCCAAATTCATTCCTACTTCATTTTTCTTCAATTTTCAATTCAAATAACCATAATTCTTTGTTTTATTATTCACAAAAGTTCAATCGTATTTTTGTCTTACAAAATTATACAAATCCATATACAGATCCTACAAAAATATACTTTTCATCTCATAAGCCCGTATCACATCAATTATAAAATACCCAAAGGTCCAATGTCTCTTTTTTGGAGTTACAAGTTACAACAACAAAAAGTCAAAAGAAAAGACCAACCTGCATCACACCTTATACACCCTACTACAAGCCAAACCAAAAAATTTGAACAAACTTTACACAAAATGGTATCTCCAAACACTGCTACAGCTAGCAAAACTTGCATCAATTATACATCCAGCTCCAAGGCAATCCTGCAGCAAAAAAACAAAAGCACAAAGACCTGCTTACACCAAAACCAACAACCAGCCATCACTTGGTACATGCCAAAACCTGCTCCTAGTACACAAAAAGTTGTTGCGTAACAAGACCAGGCCATCCAAACAAGCAACAATGACTTGTCTCTGAACCTTGACCAAACCTGCAATTTCTTGCTATCATTCCAAAATTCTACGAGCCAAAAGAATTGTGCCACTGCTATATGATATGCCCTGTAGTTAAAGCAGAAAAAACAATAAAACCTACTGCCACAAAAGATTTGTATGGTAATAACCAAAGTTAGTTTTGTTTCTTAAAAGGAGATGAAGAGAACAGAACATGGGAACTATGAATGCTCTGATTTCTCATTTATCAATGAGAATGCGTAGCCATAAGATGCGATGTCTTGGCGAGTTCACTAACAATTAACTTCCTGCTAATATTTACAACTTAGGATTGGAGTCGTCGTGCTCTAGGTAGTCGTCCTGCCATGGATATTTCTCATGTTTACCTTTGCCATAGGACTTGGAGTCGTCGTGCTCTATTTAGTCGTCATGTCGTGGACATTCCCTTCCTTGCTAACTTAAACTTAGTTTAGAGTCGTCGCACTCTATGTAGATGTCTCGCCGCAGACATTTACTTTCCTTTTGGAACCTTGACCACAGTCAAGAGTTTCTCACCCCCATTAAGGGGAACTACGGTTTCTCTGATTCCATTCCCGTCAGGATACGTAGGCACGAGATGCGATGTTTTGGCGAGCAAACTTTGTATATACTTTAGACCTTTACCTTAGCACTTTTCCTTTAGCAAGCAAACTTTAACATAACACAAATACTAACAAGAGGTTCCTATAGAGTACTACAGATAGTTATGATGCTAACACCTTACCTAGGTATAACCAACCCCCGAATCTTAGATCTCTTAGTTGTGTTGTTACATAGCGCACTTAGGGTTTTTTTCGATCTTTACCCTTTCCTTTGGATAAATCAAAGCTCGATGGTGAACTTCACAATTTGTGATTTAAGTTAATTCAATAGCTTGATATCTGATTCTCACTGCAACACTCTCCTCAATTTATCCACTGTAGCATACATTATCCCAATGGAGACTTGAAAACCTGACTAACTGCTATATATGATTTTAACCTCTTAGATCAAAGGAATAAGCTTGGAAAGACATTCAGCATACTCATACTGGTATTACAGACCCTTGGTGCCTCATTGGTGAATGAAAATGAACACAAAGACCTTACTGTCGTGATGGATCAAGCTAACCTATTTGAAAAAGATAGTATCATTGTCTTTTTTTATTCGTCCAATAACCAAAGAAATGGTATGATTTATTCTAGAATTGGTAGGGTCTTGGGGAACCTTAGTTGGCAGCAGAAAAACATGGACACCACTTTCTCCATCATGAATCATGGAGTTTCTAATCATGCCCTACTTTGTTTGCAAGAGAAAGGCCCCAGAAGACCCAATAGAACTCCCTTCGAATTCTAAAATATGGTTGTCAACAAGATGGGGTACACAGATTCTGTGAAGCAGAGCTGGAATGAGCCTCTTAGTGGATCTCCATATGTTTGTCATCTAGAAGAAACTGTGGATACTCCAACCAATTATCAGGGGTATGAGCAAAAAATTCAATGGCATCACCCAACAGCTGGGGAGAGATCTTGCCTTAGCTCAAACCAACCTTCTCCAAGATAAAATGAATATTCAATTGATTGACAAAGTCAAAGATTGCACCAAGGATTTCCTTAGATTGGGTAATATTGAGGAGCAGGATCTCAAGCAAAAGTCAAAGGTGGACTGGCTTAGATTAGGGGATGGCAACAATGCATATTTCTATGCTGCCCTAATGTCTAAGAGAAGTCAAAATCAAATTTCCAACCTCAAGGATGAAGAAGGTAATATTCTGTATCAGCAAAATGACATTGAGCATGAGATAACAAAGTACTACAAGAAGCTCATAGACTGCTAATAGAACCCTAACTAATGTTGACATAGTTGCTTTGAGAAAGGGTCCTCAATTAGCTGATGATCAAAAGGAAGCTTTAATTGCCATTATCATTGAAAATGAAATTTTTGCTAGTCTAAAAGGCATAAAAGACATCCCTGCTCCCGGAATCGAGGATTCAGTGCTAAGTTTTTCAAAAGCTCCTGGGACATGATTAAGCAAGATACCATCAATGCTGCTATGGAGTTCTTTAAAAGGAAGAAAATGTATAAGGCCATCAATTGCACCCTCGTTACCCTCATTCTAAAGACAACCACAATTGACATGGTAAAAGACTACAAACCTATCTCTTGTTGCACATTCATTTACAAGATCATCTCTAGAATAATAGCAGCCAGGCTAGGCAAGCTTTTTGGTATCATCATTATAGCATCCAAGCAGCCTTTGTCCCTGGTAAGAACATTCATGGCCATATCCTTTTGGCCTATGAGTTATTTGAGGTTACAGTACTAAGAATGGAGCCCCTAGATGCATGTTTAAAATGGATCTGCAGAAGGCATATGATACAATTGAGTGGGAAACTCTGAAGGCTATCATGAAGGAGCTAAACTTTCCTCATCAATTCATCAATTGGACCATGATAACAGTGAGAATTGTTTCTTACAAATTTCAAATTAATGGTAAATATTCCCCCTTTGGTGGAAGCTAGGAGAAGGCTCAAACAAGGGGACCCTATGTCCCTTTTATTATTTGGCATTGTCATGGAATACTTACAAACAGTGTTGCATAAGCTAAAGAGTATGGCCTAACTTCAATTTCCACTCAAAGTGTGAAAAACTTGTTATTATCAATCTGAGTTTTGCAGATGATCTGTTGCTTTTCTCTATGGGTGACCAAATATCTGTTGAGATGATGATGCAAGCCTTTGAATATTTCTCTTAAACTACAGGGCTCAAGGTGAACCCCTCCAAGTGTAAAGTATATTGTGGGAATGTGGATATTGATGAGATGAAGAGAATTCAGGATACTACCAAGTTCCCTGAAGGTAGCCTACCTTTGAGGTATCTTGGCAACCTCTAACCAGCAAGAAGCTCACTATCAATCATTACATGCCTTTGATTGAGAAAATTTTGACCAAATTCCCTTATTTACTATACCGGTAGCGACAACACCGGTAAAAATCAAGTGTTATATGTTCAAAAGACAGATGTTAAATTCTCTTTTTGCACTAGTGATATATATATATATATATATATATATATATATATATATATATATATATATATATATATATATATATATATATATATATATATATATATATATATATATATATATATATATATATATATATATATATATATATATATATATATATATATATATATATATATATATATATATATATATATAATTAATTTGTTTATCTCGTTAAATTTTATTATAAAATTAGTATACAAATTTAACATATTTTGATGTTATCTTAAATTTTTCATATGTATTAAAACTATTATGCATGTTTTTATTAACATATTTATTTTTATCGAATAAAAATTAATTTAATAATATAATATAATAAAATAATGAACCATTAATTTTTAATTAAAAATATTTTTTATTTTATTTTATATTTATCAGCTAATGTAACAGCTAATTACCAAACACTCAAATTAACTTATCAATTATCAGTCATCAGTTATAAGTTATTCGTCATCAACTATCAACTGTCAACTATCAACTACCAGCTATCAGTCATCAGCTACCAGCTATCCACTATCGACTCGTTTTACCAAACAAAGCCTAAATAATTACTTGTTTAAACTTTGTTAAAATTTATATATTTTTTTTATCTTAATTTTAATTTCTCAAATCTATTTTCTATTTCAAAGTTTTGTTATTTTCATTTTTAAAAAATAAATATAAAATGTGGTCACTTTAACTTTTAACTTTGAAAATAAATTATTAATTTCTCCATTTTAAAAATGGTTTAATTGATATGCATTAACAGTGTAAAATAGTTTTACACTGTCATCCAATAAAAAAGTAACAGTATGCCATGTCATTAATTTTTTTTAAAATATAAGTGTGATGTGGCGGAATTTATAATTGTCATTGATTGATAGTATAAAAATCACATTGTGTTGGATTTAGATCCTCTTTTTTTATATATATCATGGTTCAGAATTTATAATTAATAATTAAATAAAAAAATAAAGACAAATTACTTATCCATTTGTCTATTCTATTAAATAATTTTTTTATTTAATTATTAATTATAAATTCTGAACCGTTAGATTAAAAACATGAGAGATGACATGATATATAAAAAAAAAATCCAAATCCCATTGTATTACCGGAAGTTTTACCCCATACCCCTACACTTATACTTATACCCCTACATTAAAAAAATTTGGACCAAAATATCCTCGTATAAAAATTTATTATTTTTTAATTTTTTTATATTTTTTTATTTGTTTACCGGAAGACTTTTTGGAAGTCTTCCGGTTCATATTTTTTTTCGTATGTTTACCGGAAGACTTTTTGGAAGTCTTCCGGTACATATTTTTTTCGTTTGTTTACCGGAAGACTTTTTGGAAGTCTTCCGGTTCATGTTTTTTTTTAATTTGTAATTAATATTTAAGATTTTTTTAATTTTATATAAAGACCAATTTAGTGAATTTTTGAATATTATACTTAAAATATAAAAATTTTATCATTTTCAGAATATTTTCTATTTACTATAATCATTAGAATACTAGGATTAAAATCATTTATTTTAAATGATCATAATAGTAAAATTTTCTCAAATATCTTATTAATCTTAAACATTAATAAATAAAATAAATTTAAATATAAGATATAAGTTTACATTATTCAATATATTTAATCAAATGAAAACATATGTGATAAATAAATAATGTATTTTAACTTAAAATGATCACAATAAGTTAACTTGCAAAATAATATAAGTAATAAATTAATAATGTATTTTATTTAAAATAATCACAATAATAAAATACGCAAATAATGTGTTTTATTTATAGGACTGATATAGTTTTATTGATTATTTAATTTTGAATACTACTATGAATATAGTATTTAATCTATACTTTAGAACTCACATAATTATAAATATAAAAAATATTGTTTTATTACCCATATTTTTATTTAATTAAAAAAAAAATAAGAATATAAATTTATTATTTATTTTTCATTTTTGTTTGATCTTTTTAATTATTTTACTTTATTTAATATTTTTAATAAAATAAATAATATATTTTATTTAAAGTAAGCACAGTATAGAATATGCAAAAAATTTATAAATAAAAAAAAGATCAAACGAAAATGAAAAATAAATAATAAATTTATATTCTTATTTTTTTTAATTAAATAAAAATATGAGTAATAAAACAATATTTTTTATGTTTATAATTATGTGAGTTCTAAAGTTTAGATTAAATACTATATTCATAGTAGTATTTAAAATTAAATAATCAATAAAACTATATCAGTCCTATAAATAAAACACATTATTTGCGTATTCTATTATTGTGATTATTTTAAATAAAATACATTATTAATTTATTACTTATATTATTTTGCAAGTTAACTTATTGTGATCATTTTAAGTTAAAATACATTATTTATTTATCACATATGTTTTCATTTGATTAAATATATTGAATAATGTAAACTTATATCCTATATTTAAATTTATTTTATTTATTAATGTTTAAGATTAATAAGATATTTGAGAAAATTTTACTATTATGATCATTTAAAATAAATGATTTTAATCTCATTGTATTCTAATAATTATAGCAAATAGAAAATATTCTGAAAATAATTTTCTATTTATAGAATTTTTATATTTTAAGTATAATATTCAAAAATTCACTAAATTTGTCTTTATATAAAGTTAATAAATCTTAAATATTAATTACAAATTAAAAAAAAAAATAACCGGAAGACTTCCAAAAAGTCTTCCGGTAAACAAACGAAAAAATATGAACCGGAAGACTTCCAAAAAGTCTTCCGGTAAACATACGAAAAAAAATGTGAACCGGAAGACTTCCAAAAAGTCTTCCGGTAAACAAATAAAAAAATATAAAAAAATTAAAAAATAATAAATTTTTATACGAGGATATTTTGGTCCAAAATTTTTTTAATGTAGGGGTATGAGTTACCCATTTTCTCTTTTCAAAAAACCTCATGGTTTATCGATTTCTTTTGGTTTTGAGTGATTCGTGCCCATTTCTATCCGTTTGATTACATTACATAGTCGAATTTAATGTTGGATTCTTGTGTCCCACACCACACATAGTATATTTATACACATGCAACACACATTGTTGTTTTGGTAAATTTTTACGTGCACCGTGAAATGATACTAAAATTTACTTTTCTTCTCCAGTCGTCTGTTTGTGGCTCTTCATATAGCGTTGTTCCTTCTCTAAATTGTTCTTTAATTGTTGCAATAGCTTGTCCCTTTAAGCTAGTTGTTCTTGCAATGCAATAGGGTTTTTTGTTTGAGGAACATATCTAGTTAAAGAGGATGGATATTTCCTAGACAGGGCCTATATATGCAATGCAATAGGCCATGAACACTTATGCCATATATTTGCTGGTGTAATCACTATTAAGAGCCATAAAGAAAGAATATTTTGATAGTCTATCCATTAGTTGTGAACCATGAGAATTCGACAGTGTATGTGTTGTTTCATCAAAAACTCATTTTGAGGTTCCGGCCTTCGGAACCCTTGAAAATGCCTTAGCTGCGAAGTTTTCTCTGTCCGACGTATACTCAATTGTAAAATTATAATTTAAAAATTTATGTAACCAAAGTTGTTGTTGAGGTGTATGCAAATTGGTTAGCACGCGTTATGAATTTATGCCGCGACAAATAACGTGTTTAGAAATATCTTTCGATATGGCCAACATCTCTATGAAGTAAGCACTTTTTTACTCTTTTGGTGATAATTTCTTTCAAAAATAGACAATAGAATGTTTTTTTTTTTTTTTTT